AGCTGGCATCAGGGACAACACCGCGGGGTGACCCAAGGGGTGGGACAATCCACGTGAGGAGCCCTTTGCTAGCTTTGAAGGGATAAAATCCAGAGCAAGTTTTGGCTTCATTAAGGCAGGTTTTCCACCCTGGATGTATTTGTGATCCCCACTGAGCTCTCACCATGCGGTTCTGGGGCCCCTGCAAACCCAACACCTCAATCGAGGTACAAGACCCTGCAGTCTGGGAACAGCCCTATCCTCCTCCCCACCACCCCACAGAAGATTTGGGGGGCAATTCTTGACTTCATTTCCCCCCCAAAAAAAACACCACATCCACGGGCTGTTTATTTAACAAAACCCAGCCCCGCCACAGCAGGGAATTGGAAGGCGAGCAGCTCTCCGCCACAGCCCTTGTGATTAACAAAATATATTATTAGCATCCCAAAGCGAGGTTTGCCAGTGCCTATAAATACAAGCCAGCAGTGACTCAGCAAACCCTCCGCTATTTTTTCATTATATATATTTTTTTAAATTATTATTTTTACCCCCGATTTCCCAGGTAGGTGCATCTCGGGGTGCTGGCTCCCAAGGATGCTGCGCGGAGGTCGTCATGGAAACCCAACGCTGCAGAAATCTCAGCCTCTCCGCGAGGAACCCGCACCAAATCCCCCCCAGCCCCAGCCAGGGATGCCGTGGAATAGGTTGGCAGCATGGGGAGGAGGAAAAATGGGGGGGTTGAGCTTTTTAAAGCTATTCCTGGCTTTTAAAGCCATCCCTGCCATGTGGCAGGGAAGCTTCTCTGTTGTCTCATATAAGGCTGTGCTGGGAAGCCTGCAGGCACAAAGCAGATTGAATCCATCTACCCCTCCAAAATAAATGAACAGCAGAAACATTCGGGGTTCCTAATGTTTTTTCTACATCCCAGCACCGGCCTCAGCCAGCCCCAAGGTAGAAAACCCTCAGATACATCTTCTGTGATTACCAAGCTTAAAGGATTTTTTTTCACCTGCCCTGCTAAGCAGGACCCTGGAGCAGAGACAGGCAAAGTTTTCCAGGAAAAAAAAATCAGCCCAAAAAACCACGGAATGCTTGGCAACCCCCAAATTTCCATGCTTTTGTCCAAGTTTCAAAGAGCTCTTTGTGCCTGGAGGATGCCAGCGCTGTTGCACTGCAACATTTCAACAAGCCACCGCCACTGAAAGGAGATTTGCATTCGGAAACTCCCTGCAATTTTGCTTTTCCATTCCTGTTAAATAAAAGGAAAAATCCAGTTTGAAACCAGCTTTGATAGAAATTTCTGTTTTGGCTAACCAGAGGATCGCCGCGCTCTGCTCAGGAGCCAAGGGGTGGCTCAGACACCACGGGGATGGGCACTGGCGGCTGGGAAGGAGCAGGAACCAATTTTATCCTTAATATTTCCAACATTACCCAGGAGAAGGCGTAGGCTGAGAACTGCCCTTTTCATCACATAATTGCTTTTAAAAGCCAGGTCAGGAAAGCAAATGCTAGTGGCATGTGGCAGAGGCTGCCCCGGGGGAGCAGTTTCATTTTGGAGAGAAACCACTCAAGTGCACAGAATTTCAATGGGAGGTGATTCCCGTTTCTTGCCATACTACAAGGAGTTAGAAGGGAAGAAGAGTGTGGTGTGTGTGTGTGTTTTTTTTTAAAGCTTAAGTGAGACACTTCCCACACCCTGGGGATTTGCACTTATTTGTGCTTCTCTATTCAACAAGCAAGGAAACAAATGCAACCTGGGGGGAAGCTATCGGCGAGCATCAAGAAACCCTTAGCTCAAAGCCATCCCAGCCGTGGTCCCACGGGATGCTGGAATGGCTCTTGCAAACCCCCCAGAAATACAAAACCAAGTCACCCAGGGTCTCCAAACACAGCCAGCACAGTCCCTAACCCCACTCATTTTGTTCTTCCTATTTATAGCCCTCTCCCCAGCCCAGCCACACTGGAGCATCTTCAAGCAGAGCCGGTGCCCACAGAGAAAGGACAAGAGCCAGAAACACGGCTAAGGTCACGACAAAGCTTTTAAAAATGTAAATGAAGCCCAAGGAGCCAGCCTAATCCTGCAAGCAACCCACAGCAATGAGATTAGCCCAAGGTCCCCTTGGCAGAGGTCGAGCCCGTCTGCTTGGCATTCTCCTCGCAGAGGTCCCCCCCCCGAGGACAGGACCGAGCCCACTGCTCCAAGGACACCTCCCAGCACAGCCCTGCTCCAGCACGGCTGTCCTGGCAGGAGATGTCAAGCAAAGGGAAGGGGAAAAAAGACACGGTTTGGTGCAAATCAGCATTTTGTTCAGAGAGCATCACTGCTGATGCTGCATCCCTCGAAGGGAAAGGAAAGTGCAAGGGAAGCTGGAAAACCCAATCCCAGCGCTTGGGGAATAGGTTTAGTTTTGTTTTCAGTATTTATTTGGGCAGGTTTGGAATAGCTGGTGGAAAAAATCCACTTTGCCAACAGCCCTGGACCACTTCTAGTGCTCCTCTAAGACCAAGTTTTGACCACAGCCCCAGAAAGCCCCCAGCCCCAAAACCAGCTGCTGTGACCAAATATAACTTTTTAAATTCATCATCATTAATAAAGATTTCCACTTAATTGAAGTGTGGTAGCAAACAAACACCCACCCCAAAAAATACAGCCGCATGTAGCTGAGGATGGCAGAACAGGTACCTTAGTGCCTGACCCCCACAGATGCTCTTGGAGGCCGAGCTCTGACTACGCAATGCATAAAATAACAGCATATAAAAAGGCCTTTTATTCACCCAAACCCACAGCCTGCTGCCCACCAGCTTCCCAGCACCTCCCCTGCTCTCCCAGGGCACCAAAACCCAGAAACCCAAGGGAAACTGAGGGAAAACCCAAGGCAAACTGAGGGACAGGGCAGTGGTGCAGCTCTGCAGCACCCAGGGTTTTCAGCCCCACACACAGCATCAGAGCCTGTTTCTCCCAAACAAACATCTCTATCACTCTACCAGAGCCAAAAGTGGGAATTTTTGTATTTTTTTTCTCATCTTTCCACCACTGGTGGGCATCCATCAGCTCCAGCCCCTAGCAGGCTCCACTATTCTTGCTGGGGTGATTAACAGCCATTTTGCTAACGAAGCAAAAAAACATTAAGAGCACTGAAATTTGCCCTTTTTGCTCCCTGCCTACTCCACTGCATCTTCCAATACAAGCCCCACACACTTGCAAATGAGGCCAGAAATCCCCAGAGCCCAGGTCCCATAGGAGAGATCCCTTTTCTGGGGTTACTCCACCACTCTGCAGCACCACAGCTTGCACAAAGACAAACGCCCCTTGCTAAAATAGAAAGCCCCAAACCTCAAATCCTCTTGCTCAGACCCCTTTTAGGGAGGTGTTAGGGTGCCTTGAAGCTTTTTATAGCATCCTTCCCAGGTGGGCTGCATCTGGGCTGAGCCCAGCCCTCGGTTTGGGGTTAATTTGGGCCACCAGCTGGCTCCTTGCTCCACCACCCGCACGAGTCCAATATATGTTGAATTTCCAGCTCTGTGTGATGGGATTTACGTTTTCCATTGGGATACAAAAGTCACTGCAATAGGGTCTTTAGCTCAGTGTCCCATTTCCAAAGCATCTGGGAATGCTCCCATGTCCCATTCCCAACCAAGCGATCCGTTTTAGGGGTCCCGCTCATGCTGATGTTCCTTTTTTATGGGAATAATTTTTACCTGCTGGAAGAGAAGTTGACCCCAAATTGCCCAGGCCCAGCTTCAACACGTGGCCTGAGCATGTTTCCAGCACCTGAAGTGAGCAACTCTGTAAACACAGCACTTCTCAAAAACAACAGTAGTTTGATCATCCATGGGCATCTCCCCCCAAAATCCCTCCCAACCTCATTATCACCCAGGGCAAGGACTGGCACTTCACCCCAGGGGCTCAGTGCTCTTCCCAGTGCCTGTGCTAAGCTTCCTGAACATGTTTTGGTGCAGAAAGGAGTTTTCAAGCCATGTTTTTTGGCACAAGGATGAAGCCCATGTCAGTGTGACCATCCGATAGGATTTCTCCCAGGGACGCAGCAGGACAGGTCCCGCCGGCCCAGGTGCTGGGGAGGTGTGATGGAGACGGAGCAAGAAGCAGCTTTTGAAGCATTGCCGGGAGCAGAGGCTTCTTAGGGGATTATTTTTGTTCTCTTTTGCTGTTTCTTAACAGATTCTCCGCAGGTTTTCCCCCAGCGGCTGGGACCCGAGGCTTTCCCCAGCTCGGCGCTGCCGGCACGCGTTTCTGCATCCCCCATCTCTCCGGGCTGATCTTGAGGAAGAGGGGGAATCGGCAAACCGGTGGAAAACCGACCGACACTCCAATCAAAATGCAGAAGAAACGGAAAGGAGCGGCCCTGAGAAGCAGCACCGTTTAATTAGAAATTACATCTGTGCCGGTGAGTCACGGCGGGGAAGCCAGACGTCAGCGAGGGGCACCTGCCAGCAGCGTGACGGTGGCGACCACGATGGTGGCACCACGCGGGAGCCTTCGGCCTCACCGGCGCTCTGACTGCGGCTTTCAAGGCAGGATGGATGGACGGACAGCCGGACAACCACGGCTTCAGCTCGGGGGGGTTGGACCTTGACCCCAAACCCCCCTGGGCATCAGGAGAGCACCCAAAGCACCACCCAGAGATGGGGTTTGGCTGGAGCCGGGCCCGCAGAGCTTGGTGATGGATGAGCCCCCACACACACCCCACCGCGCCCATCACAGGGATGACGCTTTCCCACCAAGGACATGCATTTTTTGTCTTTTTTAGCCATTTCTACCAACACCCCCCCCAAGACACGGAGTGTAGCGGGGCGCTTTTCCCACCCTAAAACCCCCCCGACTCACCCGGGCTGGGCACAAGCAGCGAGCACCCCCCCGGCCGTGCCTCAGTTTCCCCCCTCCCCTCATTTTAAAGGCTTCCCCGGCTCCTTTAAGCCCCCCCCGCCCGCCGAGGCTCGGCCCCTTTCTCTGACACAGCAGCCGCCGGGGCGAGCCGAGCCGGGAGCCGCGGGGAGGCTGCGGCCGGGGCCGGGGCCGGGCGCCCACCGCCGCTCCCCCCCCGCCCCATGGCTCTGCCCGGGGCGCCGGGAGCCGCCCGCCCCCCTCCGCCCCCCCCCCGGAGCCCAGGGGGCGGCCGGCCCTGAACCGGCACCGCCGCCGCCGGTCGGTCCCGGGGGGAACGGGGATGGAGGATGCGGGGAGGGAGGATGGAGGATGAGGGGATGAAGGGATGAAGGATGAGGGGATGGAGGATGAGGGGATGGAGGATGAGGGGATGGAAGATGAGGGGATGGAAGATGAGGGGACCGGGGATGGAGGATGCGGGGAGCAGGGATTTGGGTACCAGGGCTGCGAGTACCAGGGCTGGAGGATGCGGGTGCCACGGATGCGGGTACCACGGATGCTGGTAGCAGGGATGCGGGTACCATGGCTGGAGGATGCGGGTACCGGCTTGGGAGGATGCAATCACGTCTCTCCCCACCCTGCTCGCACCCCCCAGGCTGACGGGGTGCTCCCCCCCCCCCCCCCCCCGCCACTCCGCCTCCACCTTCGCTGCCTTTCTCCACCTCCCGAGGGAAGGGTGGGGGGCATTTGGGGGCAAAGGGGGTGCCCCCGCATTCCACAGACGAGGCTTGGACCCTCTGGGGGAAAAGGGGCTCTGGCTGCCCCCCCTTAAAGCAGAGGGGTCCCAAGGGACGTGTTCCCCCCCCCCCAGCCCTGCAGGTAACATCTCACCCCTTCCAACAGCAGCCGAGGGAAGGTGGCCCCAGGACCCCACGCAGAAACCCTGAGGGAGAAGGAAGAGGAGGAAGAGGAGGAGGAGGAGGAGGGGGAGGAAGGAAGACAAAAATAATATTAATAATAATAATAATAAAAAAAGGAGGAGGAAGAGCTTGGACCGGAGCCAGGAGTGGGGAAAGGGCAATCTGGACCCGGCTGCCCTCTCACCGCCGTGCCGGTAAGTTCCCGGGCTGCCCGTCCGTCCGTCTGTCCGTCCGTCTGTCCGTCCGGACCCCAGCCTGCAGGTCTCGAAGCGAGGGGGGAGGGAGGAGGGGGTGGGGGTGGGGGTGTTGTGCAGAGCCCCCCCCCTCCCCCTCTCCCCCCTCCCTCCCGCCCCCCGCCAAGCTTTCTGTCTCCGCAAGGGCCGGCTCCCTCCCGCTGTCTGTCTGTCCGTCCGTCTGTCCCTGCAGGAGGGGACCCTGGGGACACGCGGACCCGGCCCGGAGCCCCCCCCCCCCCACCGCCCTACCGAGGAGCCAGCGAGGGGGTCAGCATCGCTCCTGGGGGGGCACCCAGCCCCGCATCGCCCTCCCCGGTCCCGGCGAGCAGGAAAAGCGCCAGCCGCTGGATTTTCGCTTCCTGGGACATCCAAGGGACTCTTCCTCCTCCTCCATGGTCCCCCCGTGCCTCCCCGGGGCCGCTGGCTGAGCCCCCCCGGCCCCCCGCCCGGCCCCGCATGCTGCGCCCCGAGCGTGGAGCAGCCCCCGGCAGCCCCGGCGCTCCCCGCCGCGGCCCGGAGCCCCCCAAAAACAGCCTCGGTGGCGGGGCGGGGAGGCGAACGGGGACTCCTTCGGGGCGTTAAGATGGTGAAAGCTCCCCGGCCGAGAGGGGCTGCGCGGACGCCAGGCCACCGGGTTAGGGGGGAGCAGGATGGACAGAGCCCTCGGGGCCGGGAGCCGAGGCCGCTAGGGAAGGATGGACTCGCCGAGCTGCCGGGACAGGCAGCCCAGTGACCCCCCCGGCAGCAGCAGCAGCAGCAGCAACTGTAGCAGCGGCAAAAGCGAGGGCGAGAGGGAGAGGATCCGCAGCCGGATGAAAATGGTCATCGGGCAGCTGGAAGGCATCTTGCAGGAGCTCAAGGAGGTCGCCAAGGAGCTCCGGGAGGTAGGAGAGCGATGGGGAGGGGACCCGGGGTGGGAGCAGGCACCGGGAGCCCCCCGCCGTCCCCCCCTTCCCGGCCCAGCCTGAAGCACCCTGCCCCTACCAGCCTCACCTCCAAAGAAATGGGGGGAAATAGGCTGGATTTGGGAAAATTGCTCTTGACCTTGATGCCGAGGCTCGCTGCGTGCCCAGAGGCACGGCAGTGGTTTGGGGGGGTTTCATTCTGCTCTGGGTGGCGGGGACGTGGCTGGGGGCCGGGGATGTCTCTGTGGCTGCTCGTTGCGTGGTGGCCTCGAGCACGGCGGGGCAGCTTGCTTTTGGGATGGGGCTGTTGTGCCGTTGGGGTGGTCGGGTTGTTTCTGGAGGTGGGGGAGAGCCTTGTCCCCGCGGGCCGTGCTCGGGGACGTGACACCTCCCAGCCCAAAGCATCCCCTGAAAGCCCCGCTGTCCTTTCTGGGGCTGCTCTGCTTGGTTTGTGGGGTTTTAGGGGAGGTTGTCCCCCAGGGGACACCGCATCCCACCACACCACCCCACCGGGGCCCTCGTCCCTTCAGCAGGCAGCACGCAGAGCAAAGAAAGACCCCCGGCTCCTGCAGCTCCAGCAGGGTAGCCCCAAACCCCTTTTGACAAATCCCTGACGGATTAAAAATAGTAATAATAATAATAATCAGGAGGCTGAGCTATTTTCCATTTAGCCTGAGCTCACTTCACACTCCTCCAGGAGCTTAAAGAGGCCTTCGAAAGGAGGCTGATGGCAATTCATGGCCACTTCAGTGCCCCTTTTGCAAAGCTCATGGATTTAGGGCCAGGAGAGACCACCACAAGCATCCGAGCATCCTTCCTGAGCGCTCCAGAGCTTAACTCTTTGGTTCAGCCTCTTGGGGCTGGAAGACCCCCAGCATCTCAGCAGCATCCTCGGGAAGCTGCCCAAGCCAGGCTGGACCAGCATGTGGAACAGGGGAAGGGGAAGGGAAGAGGGGAAGAGGTTCTGGGGAGAAATGTGGCTGGGGGGTGACTCGAGGCGGGAGCCAGCATGTCCTGAGGCACCGGTGACCTCCCACAGGAGGGCCCTTTGCAGCACGGGGCAATGTGGCCAGGTTGGTGGCCCCAAAATCCCCTCCACAAAGAGGTCTTAAACATTGACCCTTCTCAACAAGTCTTCCAGCAGAACCACGCGTCCCTACAGCAAGGGCTTGAGTGCCTAAAAAGTGGTATAAAACTCAATATGAGCTGGAGCTAAAGCACACCGAGGCTCACCCAGCAGAGCTCTGGTGTTCCCCGTTCCCCCAGGGCCAGGCAGGCGTTGGCCTTGCAAAACCCAACAAAGTGATGAGCCAGGGCCAGGAGGAGCCCAAGGAGATGGGGACAAGGAGGGCAGGGGACACACCATGAGTCCCTGGGGGTGCACACCAAACCACCAGGTCTGTGGCCAGCCATGGACTCATGGCCTCATGGACTCCAGCTTTGGAGACCCCACCCACTCCACCCCGTGCATCCATCCCCTCCTCGTGGGGCTTTGCCAGGTGGTTGGGGCACAGGGCTGGACGTGCTCTGCGAGGAATGGGGCTGATCTGTCCCCAGCCCTGCTCACCCCTCGCTCCCCCAAGCGTTCCCCACCTGAAGGCTGTCGTTCCAGATGTCCGCTGTATCCAGGATGCTGCTTTACCAGCCTCTGTGCTCCCGCTCTCCCTCCCTCCCTCTTCCCTTTTGTGTATATAATTATTCCCCAGCACTCCACGACAGGGCTGTATTATGTGCGGGGAAAATGATTATTAAATCTCTGCCTGAAATCGCACGCTGGAAGTAAAAATCACGCAGGAGGCCGGGACCGAAGGTGCTTCCGCTGAGCGGGATCCGCATCCTCCACCCCTGGTACCCAAATCCTCCATCCTGTCCCTGGAACCCACATCCTCCATCCCTGGTATCCAAATCCTCCACCCTTGGTACCCTCATCCTCCATCCCATCCCTGGTACCCACATCCTCCATCTCTGGTACCCAAATCCTTCATTCCTGATACCCAAATCCTTCATCCCCAGTACCTGCATCTTCCATCCCATCCCTGGTATCCATATCCTTCATCCCTGGTACCCGCATCCTTCATCCCACCTCTCGTACCCAAATCCTCCATCTCTGGTACCCATATCCTTCATCCTCGCTACCTGCATCCCCAGTTCCCACATTCTCCATCCCCAAGCCCCAAAATCCCATGGCGAGTGCCCCGTCACCCCCACGCTCCCCTCTGGGTGCCAGCACAGCAGCAGGTGCCACCAGGACGTCCCCTGGCATTCCCTCTGCGGGAGGAAGACCTGCAGCGCAAGGCTTCCGCTAACAAATACCTTCATAATGTTGTAATCAATAGGTGATTAGCTGGCAATGCTTTGGGAAGTTCACGGCGAGAAGGCGGCTCGTTATTCTAGCGGCACGTTTTGGAGAGGCACGCGATGATTTTGAACTCTTTAGCAGCTGATGATGCAGCAAATGGCCCAGCGATGCTCCGGCCGCTGGACCAGACAACAGGGCTCGCTCGTTTATTCGTGTCAGCTTGGGGAGAGGCCCCCCTAACCCAGCTTCTCCTCGCTTGCTTGCAAGCGAGCTCCAATTAATCATTTATTTGCTGTTCAATATTTACCTTCCCCTTGCTGAGAAGTGTTTGGGGAGATGCAGGAAGGTCCCATCCCTGGGCAAGTCAGGCTGCGGGGTTGTGGGGGCTGCTGGAGGCTTTGGGGCTGCTCCTTTTCCTGGCAGAGGGATTGCTTTCCAAGGCGACGGTGGCAAAATCCTCAGGGATGCTTTGGAGCAGTGGCACAGCTTTGGGAACAGGGAGCAAACCCCACGGCTTGCCCTGGGAGTTGATGCTTGGGGCCGGGAAAGCCTTTGGGAAGGGAGGCGAGGGGGGACGCAGCCACGCAGCCAGACCCAAAGCCAACCCTAAACTCCCCACTGCCCCCCGCTTTGATCCCACTGCCGCTCCACTTCAAAGGCTGCAAGGCAGGGGCCGCTGGATCACTTTGATCCCGAGCATCTCCCGGCCCCGCTCCCGTCCACCCTCTCCTGGAGATGCGTTACCCATCCCCGCGCCGCTTTGAAGTCCCCTCTCCTCCTCCCGCCCCGCCTGCCGCCTCCCCAGCACCTTCGCCGAGAGATTCCCTCCTGAATGAGAAGCAGCACGGCCGAAATGCCGAAACGCCAGCCGCCGAGCCGGGGCGTGATTTGCAGCCGAGCTGATTACCCAAACTATTGAAAATGAAGCAAAACAATGGCGCTCCAGATGTGCAACATCTGCCTCGGCAGGTATCCAGCTGGGGAGGGGAACACCCGGCCGGGGGCATGCAGGATTTTAGCTGAAGAGCTCCCGGCGCTGTCCTTGGGTGCAGGGACCACACACGAGCCCCCGGAGGCAGGGGGGGAGCACCCAGTGCTCCCAGTTGGGTGACTGGTGGCGGCTGGTCCCACGCTGGTCCTGCAGGCTGGCTCTGTCCCCTTTATTTGCTTGTGGATGTTTAGCCCAAGGGTCATGTTTGGGAACACGCAGGCTGCTGAGGATTCATTTTTTTGGGGGTGGAAGCCTGGTGTTTGGGGTGGAGATGAGCTCCATCCATTTTAGCTGAAAAAAATAAGAAAAAGACTGCTTTTTGCCACAAAGTGAGACCTACAGGTGAGGGAGGAGGAGGGAACCCCTCTTGGCACCCCTGTGGCTCACGCTGGGGTCACTCTGACCCCCTCGGCCTCTTGCAGCCCCCAGGGCCACCCATCGCGGGGGTCTCCCCAAAAAAACAACCTGATGCACAGCAATGGGATCTGTTTCTTCCCTCCCTCCCCATGGCTCCCATCCCAGCTCGCCCTGCTAAAAGGCTTTGGCAGCCAGATGTAGCAGAAGGGGGGGGGGGGAGAAAAGACCAAATCCTGCTTTACATTTAAATCCTCAGCAGGTAGCGAGCTGCACGGAGGTACTTAACACCCCCCCACCGCCCATTTAAAATAGAAAGTGCAGGGAAGGGCGCTCCTAAAAATAGAGTGAGCGTGGCTGGTGTGACACTAATCCCCCCGAGGACCGGGGGGGGGGCGGCGGGGACGTGGCTCCTCCCGGCACCCAGGTGCCAGCAGCCCCCCGAGGGTCCCGGGGATGGGTGAGGATGAGGAGGAGCTGGGACCCCCTGGGCTGGGGAGGATGCGCTCGCCCTGGAGCTGGTGCCGTGCTCGCAGCCTCCAGGAAAACGGAGGTGATCTCATTTTAGCCAAGGGTTTCGGTGAGATCATTTTCTGCCTTATTAAAAAATAATAATAGCCGGGTGTTTCCCAGGGACGGCTCTCTTCCTGCCCTTTTTCCTTCTTCTTTGTCATCACTGAGAAGGAAGAGGTCACAGAGGCTTTTTTTCCACCCTTTCTCACCCAAATAAGAAAAAGAAAAAGGAAATAAAAAGCAAGCTGGTGGCTCTTTGGGGACAGCAGCGATCTCCTTTTCTCATCCAGGCAGTTTCTTGCTGCTGCAGCTCCAGCCGGGGGTCCCAGCCTGCTCTCAGCATCCTCCAGAGCCAAAGCATGGTCGAGGAGGCAAGAAAAGAGGTCTGGGGTCTTGGGCAAGGGCTGAAAGCCTGGGGAAAGCCCCTCGCTTTCTGCTGATGGGGATCGGGTGCGCTCTGCTTGGCTCTGCCCTGCTCTGGGGACCCAAAAACCCTTTGGGGGACAAGGCTGTGACATAGGGCCGGGGTCTAACCTGGAAGCAGGGTGGGGGGTGACCTACAAGGGGTTCATCCAGAAGGCAACATACCCACAGCATGTAGGGCTGGGGCAAGGACCTGCACAGCTCCACGTTGAGCTGATGTGGGCGCCTGGGCCATGAGCAGGGTGGGATGGGGGGTCCAGATGGGGCCAATTGGGGCCGTTTCATTGCCACCACATCCAACACACCCCCAGGTTGCATCTTCCTGGTTGAACCTCAGGCAGGGTCTCACCATTCCCATGGGCATCCCGATCCAGCCCGGTCACCCTGAGCCAAATCCCTGGGGACACCAGGCTGCATTTTGTCCTCCAGAATGGCCCCGGGTTGTTGGGTGCTGGTTTACGGTGCATTTATGGTATTTTATAGGGTTTTCCCTAAACTGCTGCGTGCTGGCATCTAGCACAGGGTGAGGATGCACAGAGCAAGGGCATGGGGTGAAGGTCAGGGGGAAGCCTCTGCAGTGAAGATGGGATGGGGGGGTCTAAGCCTGAGGACTTGCTTTCCTCCAAAAGTGCTCAAAAAAACAGGGTAACGGCAGCAAAATCACAGAATCACAGAATCCTCGAGGTTGGAAAAGACCTTCAAGATCAGAAGCGATGGGGGAATGGTTTAGCATTGCAATTAATTATTCCTGGTGGATGAGGAGTTGCGCTGGGCGTGACGCTGGTGGAGACGGAGCAGATTTTTGGTGGTTTGTGGAGTGGTTTTGGTGGTGCGTGGATTTTTGGTTTCAGCGTGGACTGCAAGGTGCCAGGAGGCTGCTCGTTTATTTGCCTTCCCATCCTCGTTCTGGGAAGCTCATGGTTTCTTTCCACGAGGAAAGGACATGTGGAAGGGCAGGGGAAGGAAAAGGAAGGGGAGAGCAGAGCAATCCTGATAAATAGCCATGGAAATGACATGGAAAGGGACACGCTTGGGTGCCAGCCCCTTTACCACGGCGGCACCGTGTAGGGTCTGTCCCCTGCAGCACGTTGGGGACACCCCCCTGTCCCCAAACCACCACATTCCAGCTGGTCCTTGGCATAATAAACCCCTTGGAAGGGATGGTGGATTTGGGAACAAGCCTGGGAGCACCCATCACACCACCTGGGGACAGCCCTGCCTCAGTTTCCCCATCTGTGGAGCTGAAATTTGGGGGGGGGGCAAAGGAGGTGGTGCTCACTGACGGCTCCACACGGCCGGGTGTGAGGGACTAAGGGGTGCCACGTGCCCCGAAAACGCCGTGCGGGTGGGTGGGCTTCACCTGTCCGTCTGTCCGTCCTGCAGGTGGTGAGCCAGATCGACCGTCTGACGTCCGACTTCGAGTTCGAGCTGGAGCCCGACGACTGGACGACGGCGACGGCCAGCAGCACCTCCAGCAGCGAGAAAGGGGGCGCCGCCTTCGAGCTGGGACCCCTCGACTTCGCCGCCGCCGACATCCTCTCCGACAGCTGGGAGTTCTGCTCCTTCCTCGACGCCTCCACCCCCTCCGACCAAGGGGACGGGCCCGAGCCCCCCCGGCCGCAGCAGCCGCCGCCGCCGTGCCGCCAGCCCGACTACCGGCTGATGAACGGCGGCGTCCCCATCGCCAACGGGCCCCGGGGGGGGACCCCGGACTCCTCCAGCGAGGAGGCGTTCGGTGCCCACCACAGGGGTCCCCAGCAGCGGCCGGCCGGCACGCGGGAGCGGGTCCGCTTCAGTGACAAGGTGCTGTACCACGCGCTGTGCTGCGACGACGACGATGACGACGACGGGGACGGCGCCGACGAAGGCTCCCCGGGCGAGGATTGCGGCGAGGAGCCTGGCCGCAAGGCCACCTCGAAGCATCCCCCTGGGGGTGGCGGCGGGGGGCTGGCGGCGGCCCGGCGGCCGACGAGGAACAGCAGCACGCAGACTGTGGCCTGACAAAAGCACCCAGACGGTGCTGCCCTACATCAGGCAGAAAAGCAAAAGGAAAAACTGACGCCGGCTCCCGAGCGGGTTGGGGGCGGCCGAGGGTTGGGTGGGGTGGGTGGGGAGCCTGGGCAGGGTCAGAAATATATATATATATATAAATATATATTTAAATACATCGCTACTACGAATAAAATCGAGATGAAAAGGTGGCAGAGAAGGCAAACGTCCAACTACCTACCCGTCGTGTTCGAGGCTCAGGGAATTTTAAACTGTTTTGTGGACGGAAGATGCAGCTCAATAAACTGTTCGTCATGGAGAAATGCCAGCCATAACATATATATATCCATAAATATATCCTATGTATATATGTGCCCGCAGAGGGAAGCCTCTCCTGGGGACGTGGGCGCACCGGAGGGGTTGGTGGCAGGGCTGGGAAGGGCAAAGATCCCTCCCTGGGGGGTTTTATCCCCGTTTACCACAGGCACTTGCTAGGAAGTACAAGGAGCCGGTGCAATCTGGTGGCAGGTTTTCTCAGAAAGTGCTCTATATTCACCCCAAAATCATAGCTTGATGCTCTTCCCTTTTATCAGCAGGGAAAATGGGACAGGAAAAAACAAACAAACAAAAAAAAAGAGAACCCACAGACAGTTTTTAGGGGAATTAACCCCAGGAATGGCAACGATGGGTTTTGAGGACCCTCATGGCATCACCTGGGGATGCGGTGCAAGGCAAGGCTGTATTTCTGCTAATATTTTATCAGCAACTTTTATAAGTTATGATGCTAACAACCCAGAACCTGCCCACTGACGGGAATCTACCCCCATTAGCTGGAAGAAGGAGTTAAAATCCTTTTTTTAAGGCTTTTAGGCATTTTGTGTCAGTTTTTAGGACTTTTTCTCCACTGCAGCTGCATCAGCATCACCTCCCTCTGCATCTCCCCGTGATCCCAGGGCTGGAGCCCCAAGACAATTTTATTTTCCCAAGTAGGGACATCAGGGTTTGGGATATCCCTGTCCCATGTGCCACCACCACGGGGAGACATGGGATGGGACAACTCCTCTTTGCTCCCTCCATTACTCTGCGTGTCAACAGCTGGTTATTTATTTTTACGAGCTGTTTTCACAGCCAGGCCCCATTGGATAGGTGTGATTAATAGAGGCAGTTTTGTTCCTTAATAACTTCTGGAGAAAGATGCAAGGAGGGGCACAGGGGAAAAAAATCAGAGCAGCCCAAGCTGCAGGCGACGTCCTCGTGCTCCTCTGCATGCCCAGAAACAAGCACAGAGGGGCTTTTGCTGGCATTATTTAGCAGGAAAACCTGCTTGGGTGGGTTTGGGGGTGAAATTCAAGAGGGGAGAGGATGGGGGTTATTATTAATAGAATGTTAACTATTAACATCCATCTGCCCACACCAAAAACTGCTCAAAATTACTCCAAACCAGCCCCAAACACCCAGAGAAGGCCAGGATGGGGGCATCCCTCCCCGTTCCCTACTCCCAACCCTTTCTCAGCCTCCCCAAAACATCGGGAAAGCCCCAAACAGCGCCCGGCATCTCACGAGAGCCGGCGGAGGAAGGGGCAAAGGGCTCGTGTTTCCTCCAGAAGCAATAAAGAAACAATCAGCAAATAAAACGAGGACACGACCCGGAACGGCGGCTCCGGCTGCTCCGCGCCCCGGGGATGAGATGCGACAGCTTTGCTAATTCTTGCCCTTTCCTTGCCCGCCGGCGGGTACCGTGCTGGCGTTTGGCACGGTTTGATGGGTTTTAAAGCAGAATTTCGGCTTTGCATGCGAATCAGCTGCCTCCGGTTGGGGCCGGTGAGCAAAGCGAGTTCCTCGCTTCTGCCATCCTGGGGGGAAAACGCACAGAAATGGGTTACCTGGGGAGGAGGTCAGGGAAAATAAAAGCAAAATGAAGCCCGGCTCCCCAGGAGCTGTGACAACGCCTGCATCCCAAACACCCTGTGAGGCTCTCGGCTGCTCCATCTCCTGTAAAAGCCTGGGAGCCCGTGGGCCCCCAGCCACCTCCCCCCCTGCCTCGGTGGCCCCTGGGGACCACGCATCGCTTGGGGCCGGGTGCTGGCTGTGGCTGGAAGACAAATGCTTTGTTTTTCCAAGGGAGAGGCTATGCCTCCTGCCTCTGCTAATGTACAGCATCTTGTCTTATTTGTTCCTTGCTGTTCCACAGCTGAATTACTGCAAGTAATGTACCAGCACCTCGTGCAATGCTTCTTCTTTATAACCACGCAGTCAGCTCGCCTCCAGGCTCTCCTTTCGGATTGCAGGGCTAGCCCGGGAGCTGTTTCCACCTCGGGGTGCTGAGGCTCTTCCCTCCTCATCCTCACCCATCCAGCCCTGTGGCACTCTGCGCAATGGGGGAGAATAAAAGGCTGCTGCGGGGCGGGAGCATCCCCAAAAGCACGGCTGTGTCCTCCCCAGCCTGATTTCGCTCTGCAATGCAGCGAGCGGGGGGTCGCATCCTCCCCGGCTCTGCTTATCTCCAGCAACGCTTCCACTGCGTGCTCTGGAGCTGGATAACCGCCTGGCGGAGGTTATCTCCTTGCAGAACGCCTGCAGCAGGAAAATGCATTGCTCACAACTGCTTCCACCCCCCTCAGATCGTTCCTATCTCGCTCCCTGGGTTGTTATCGCCGAGCCCTCCTGGTGCCATGGGATGGAGATGCGAGAGCCAAGCTTGGCTCCCAAGAGCCTGCTCCCCTGGGAGAAGGGAAGGTGGGGTTGGGGAGGTGGGAAGGAGCCAGCTCACCACCCCCAAGGAGGGACGAGGGGGGCAGCTGGTGGCAATAGGAAGCCCAGAGCATCGAGCAAGGTGGTGAGGATGAAGCAGGTCCAAGGCTCAGTGGGAATAAATGGGTAGGATCAACGGGGCATGGCCAGCGTCAATGGGACGTGGATGTGGAGGTAGACACGGCCCGTTCTCCTTCCTGGGCTGGGATCAAGAGAATTCAGGTCTGGTCCTCTGGTGGCCGTGGCTGGGCTTGACCTGGACGCAGCTCTTGGTATCCCAACGGGTAACACGCGGCTATTTTTCGTGGTAGGAATTGCCTCTTGCTGCATGGTGGCTGGGTGCTCTCCCACCACTGGGTGGCAGTGGGTGCCCACGCACACGCATGTGCATGTGCCACCATCCCTGTCCTCGTCACCCCTTCCTCCTGCACCCTGCCAGGGCATGGGGACCATGCTGATGGTGCCCCTGGTGGCCCCGTGTCACGTCACCTCCATGGTTGCCATCTTCCCTCGCATAACCCATTGTGGACATGCGGATGCCACAAAGCATCCTCCCCAAACACAGCTGGAAAGAGAGGATTTGAGGCCAAAAACGTCACTTAGACCCCATGTCCCATAGGTAGCTGCAGCTCTTTGGGTCTTGTCCCCACTGCGGGATGGGGGCTGCTTGGATGAAGTTCCAGCACCTGCACCAGGCTCCTGCACTCACCCTTGGGGACAAATTGCTCAAAGCACCAATTCCCCTTTACAAACATACCCCAAATGGGGACAGCAGCTACTGGTGACCCCTCAGCAGAGCCCCAGGACCCATCTGTCCCCCCAGGGCTCTGATGGTGGCCAGAGGACTTGGCCAAGCCTGCAAAAAGGCAGCAGTGCCAGAGCAGCCCTGGAGGTGCTTGTAAGACAAGGGATGACATGCTTGATGGGACTTCTTAATTAGCTCTCACTAAGCCAAAATGTACCGGGGCTCCCCTGGCAGAACAGCATCAGACAAAACATTAATCACGCTCCAAATAAATAATTAAAATGTTGTGGCTCTTGGAAGGAAAAATAATAATAATGATGATAGGGGAAAATGAAAACTGTTGTCTTTGATGTCACGGCCCTGGGGACAAGTGGGGCCGTGTCCCCAAAGCCACCTGAGCCAGGAGGGATTTTGTGTTCAGCCAAGTCCACAGCCAAAGTCCCAGGGTGTCAGAGCTCCTAAGCTCCTACCTCAGTGGTGGAACACATCCCCACCTCAGCTCTGCATTAAAATGTGAATTTTTAGCAACCATGTCCCATGGCTCCAAATGCTGGATGTGGCTCGGGCAGTGTCCTGGGACGTTATCTGTGGTCACTGCTAAATTTTATGCTCCGATGGGTGGGAATATCGCCATGGGAAAACCCTCTCATGCATCACTTAGGGAGCACTTCGGGGATAAAAACAACAAAAAGAAGCTCGAAAAGAAAAAAGCTCTCCATCCTCATCCCCTTTTTGCCCGAGAGGAGATGATTGCTCAGTGCGAGCAACGCAGAGCTTAAATTATGCATGGGGCCATTGGGATGGAGGAGGAGGGTTTGGGAAGAGTTGATCCTGTCCCCACCTTTAAAGCCTGAAGCCTCATGTGTGGGTGACATCCCTGGCCTTCCTCCTCCTCCTCCTCTCCCCAGAGCCCTGGTTTCAGCCATCCTCTGGGTTTCAAAGCATCGCAGGCAGCCCCGGTTTGTCCCCGTTGCTTTTGGGTTACGTAGGGTGCAGGGGACACCCACGCAACCACCTGGGTCCGCCAAACCCATTTTATTACATTAATATTTGCTGGTAATGAAGTTAGATAGCACTTGGAACCCCAATCAAATTAGGAAAGCTATAATGAACAAGAAGTGGTGCATTAATTCATTAGCGGGGAATTACACTAAATTATCTCGGCAAATACGGCAAAACTTTAATTTACCAGAGGTGTTTTCAAATGGCTTCTGCTCCTTCGCATCCATTTCCACCACGACACATTTTTTTTAAGGCAGGGAAAACAAGAGAAGTGAATTAACTCCATCTCCTTGGGGAGATGCTGCTGTCTCGCGGATGGTAACAGATACCCACAAGAGATATCGGGAACTCCACTTTTCCCCCCCCTTCCCCAGGTCTGTGCAGGGAAAATGGATATTATTTACAACAAACAACCTGACTTCACCTTCGCAAAGATTCAGGCTAATGTTCTGCTTTGCTAATCACCACGGAAAGGGGGGGAAGAAGGAAAAAAATAAACGTGTAGCAATTTACTTGAACACATGCAGGCGGAGCATTAATAATGTACATCTCTGGGAAACTAGGCCTGATACAGGGCAGCCAATTTGTGCTTTAAAGCA